ACATTAGTTAAAAGCCAGAACACCCAATCTGGTGATTCTGCTCAAGAATCTCCTCCAAAATTAGATCCCGTTCAATCTGAAAAGGCTCAGGAAAAGACAGATAATTTGGATGAACCTAAACCAGTCATTGCTGATCCAGATTCTTTTCAGCCAGAGTCAAATGATGAGGATTCAAAACAAATGGAAGACTCATCAGCAAAAGACCAGAATCCTCAATCAGATCTTTCTGCTCAAAATCCTGTTCCTGAAAAGTTAGATCCTGATGAATCCCCAAAAAGTAACAAAGAGATAGTTAACCCTGAAGAAGTTGCGCCAGAAAAAGGTTTGGGTGATGGCAAGAAGAAGAGTGAAAAGCATGAGGAAGATATTGAGGGGACACCCAGGAATGGATCTGAAAATAGCCACTTCTTTGCCTACTTGGTGACCACAGCTATTGTTGTTGCTGCACTATACATTGCCTATCATAATAAACGAAAAGTGAGTATTTTAACTTGTTAGTGTTTATGATTTCATATATATGTCAGCCTGGACTCTGATGATGAAAATGAAAGCTATTTCCTCAAAGTATCTTTAGCAAGAGGAAATGGTGTAATATCCAGAAAAGAAAGTCTGAGAATAAATCACTGCAAATAATGCTCTAGTTTTAAATTAGCATGATCTAAAGGTCAAGTTCGAACATGTGTTCTTTAGGTTAAGTTCAAACAGTTCTTTAAGAAATATATCAGGTATTATCAATAGGAAATATGACTCCAATTGCTTTCATTGCATATGTATATCTTATCTAAAATACATTCTGCTGATTGAGATCAACGTGTAAGTGTAAAACATAGCCATATCTCCTCAAATTGATTTTAGTGGGGCTATTTTAGCTAGGATCTGACTTATTTATTTTTATTGGGTTTTTAAAAATAAAGCAATCAGAAAATTTATCCCCCAAAATATATTGGATATTGGTTTATTATATTGGGGTCATGCTAAATAAACCATACTAATGTTATGTAAAACTTCTAAAAAGCTATATATTTTTAAATATGTTTCTTGGCTTGGACTGACATATACTGTAAGCTGTAGATTATCTTTCTTACCTTGGAAAAGATGTACTTGGTAAACTGGCTGTAGAGAAGCTGTTAAAAGCAACATTCCAATGATGAATGTTCCATATTCTATGGATTACTTGATGGATTATTACTAGGAATCGTGATACTTTTACTAGCCAATGGGAATATAAGTAGCAGGGCCAGAGAAACTTTGATGAAGCAGATTTAGATGTTGGGGTGTGAAAACCACCTCTTCTTAGATAGCCAACATATGTACGGGTCTAGAAAAACAGATTTCAGCTTTTTAAGACTCAGGATATTCCTTTAACATTTTATTTGCAATATGTGGCCCTCATTTTGATTCTTTTTGTCCATCCTTCTCCATTTCCTCCTCCTTGGAAGATCAAATGTTGAAAAGGATAAAGCTTCTGTAGCGGATGGAGTTTTGAGCAGGCACAGCTTTCTCCCTTTATAAATAAATGTTAGCCATATTAATTAAGCATTTAGATCCTGTCTTTTGAATCTGATTTGTCTTTTTGTTTTTTCTTAAAATGGGAATTGAAGAGATACTCCTAAACAAATGAACTTTAAGTCAGGTTACCTTTTGGGTATCTTGGCCTAATAGTTCAGGTATGATGCTAGAAACTAGATCTGGACCTGTTGAATTGTGGGCCTGTTTTAAGTGATTTGCAATAGGTTGGAAAGATTTGTAAATGCACGCTACTTAGCAGGAGCAGCAACAAAATGAATTCTGATGCTTTCTGAAATTCAACTGGTGAATTAAATGAAAGCTTGGAGCAACCAAGAGTAGGTTCTTGTGTGAGTTCTTTTCTGAGTTCTTCCTATGTAATATTTTGTATTTTGCATGAGATTTCAAGTTGGGTATATTTTAGTTCTACTAAAAAAAAAAAGTCTGCAGGCCTCAAATCTGTCCATTCCTGGATTAGATTACAGGAAGATAGGTTAGTCTAATGTAGCCCCAAGCATGGTAGACTCTGAGCTGGTTCATGCAGCATGTTAAGTCATAATTTGCTTAACTGTGGCTTGTTAAATAAGCCACAACTGGCTGGACACACAACATGCTAAGTCATAAATAATAACCCATGTATTCACCCAGTGCACCTTTCCCCAAGTTGGGGGATCTCTATATATTTATGAACTTCAACTCCCAGAAATTCCAGCCTGCAAGGCCACTGCTAAAAATGGAAGTTCATAAATCTAAGGGCAGCTTGGTTAAGGAAGGTTGACAGTACAACGTGTAACCCCAGCCTAAGTTAACTTTTGCTGTAATGTAAGGCCCTTGTACAACCCTTCCTAAACAGTGAAGTTCCTTTCTAAGTGAGACTCACTTTGTCCCCCTTTGGGAAGACCGAACTGTTGCTACGTTACAGGTTTTAATATGCTATCTGTGCAATCTCTCTTTTTAATGCTGTACTTGTAATAATGTGGTTTTCCCCCCTAGTTTAATAGTTATTACAAGCGCTTTTCTCACTTTAATGGGAAATTGGAGTATAATTGTTCAAGTTTTTGCTGCAGCCCAGTCACTTACTGATTCTCTTTTCCTCCCCTGCAAAGATTATTGCTTTTGCTTTAGAAGGAAAAAAATCAAAGATAACCCGAAGGCCCAAATCCAGTGACTATCAGCGACTGGATCAAAAGGTAAGCTCTCCTACTTTGCGCATCAAAACAGCTGATTTCATGGTTTGATTTTTTTACCTTCCTTTCAGCCAAGATCACTTCTCACAGCTGTTTCAATGATAATATGTACCTCATCACAGAACAGTTAGAAGTATGTTAGAGCATACTTTTCTGACCGATGGAGTTGATCACGTTGCCCGGGCTTGTGCTTTCACTTCTTTTTAATATTCTTTTCGGTCCTTCTGCCTGGCTGGAATCTATAAGACTGGATTTATAGTCAGAGGAAACAAGCATTGTGTGTGTGCTTTGGAACTTAGTTTATTGGCTTATATGGAAGAAGAGTTGGTTCAGAGCTTAAAAAAGACATCTAAAGCATTGCCTTGGTTATTTTAAAAAAAAATCTTCCACTCTCTTCTCTGTAAGGGAAGAGCCCTTCCCCTCTTTCTAGTTCGTTTTAATTGGTAAAGATCTTTCAAACTCCTCCAAAACCTGCTTTGACTGGGGGTAACCCAAGATTTGTCATGCCCCTGTTTCATCATTAAAGTACTATGTGGTTAGGAAGGGCCATTTTCTCTCTTTTCCCAATCTTTTTTTCATTGGTTTTTCAATACCAGTGAGTACAATTCCAATGCCTGTGGTTTGAACTTGCCAAGCGATTAACATCTCCCTTTGTTTTTCTTCTCTGCAGATCTAAACCCAGAAGTTCCTGCATGCTACTGTGTTGCATGAGGACTCATTTTGAAAATGGCACATAGCAACATGGGCGATGTCCAGCCTTCCATCAGTACAGCCTCAAAGCCTATTGGCTGTGCTACTGTGCCCAGGGGGCGGGAGCAACAAAAGTGCTTTTAATTGTGCACATGCACTTTGCCCATTGTCATGCTTCATTTATTCTTTCAAAGCCCTGAGCTGTTTATTCCCCTTTCAGTGACTTGATGTTGGACTGTTTTCTCCCACATTATGACGGAGAACCAATGGACAGCGCTCTGTGTGTTTCCCCAAATGATGCGGTACTTACTGTCTGTCATATTAATCCTAAGGAAAGTTGAATGAGCAGTGTGACTTTGTCTCCTAGATTCTGGGTGTTGAGTTCATTGTCGACATTACAAGTTTGGAACAGAGTTTATGAAGGCTGTTGACTATTGTCCCTAGAGAGCTCTGTTCCACCGAGACATGTGTTGCCCGATACACTGGTTGAATATCTCCTGTCTGTAGATGGCAATATTGAGAAATGGATATCCAGCACTGCCTGTCTTTCTTAAGTGTCAGCGTATGTGAAATACTGGAGTTTTAATGCTTGGCTTAATACTTCCCAAGTCTCGTGTTGATCAATTAGATCAGTTGCTACTTTTCTGATTGCCAGACTGTAGGTAAAATTATTCTGTTTGAAGGAATGTTGACTTCGATATTCTTCTCCCACCATGTCCTGCCAAGCATTTCCATTAATTAAGATCTTTCCAATCCATACTGCCACATTCCCATGAAGATCTCAGAAGGAGAGCAATCATGTTGGGACTGTTGTAATCCACTGCAAATCTGATGGCAATATGTCCTATTCAGAACCAAAATCTGCCATTCTGGCAGGAGACTGACACTCACTTTTGAATCCAGGAAATGAATTGCTTGTGTAAATCTTTATTGGTTTACCCCACCCATGTTCAGAGTGTTGCATTCAATACGAGGGGCACTTGGAATAGATCAATGGCATCGTTCATAGAGACATGGCAGAAGATGGTAGTTCAAGAGATGTGTGGTACTTACATATTTTTCCCCACTATCTGAACTTGGCACTAATTGCATCGGCAGCCCTGTAATATGAAGTAGCTTTTTCATGTTGTTGCTGGCTTGAGTTTGTCCTGTGGCCTTTATATTCTTCTCTTAAGTTTATGTTCTGCGTGGGATGAGAAAGTGGAGAAAACTAAACCGAAGGTCTGCCTGAGGATTACTTTGATTTTGTTTCCACTTTCACTTAGTGGGCTTAATTTTATCCTGCAGTGAGAAGCCAAATTGCCTTGAGTCTTCATCAAATGATAGGACATTTAACCTTCCTCCCCAACTCCCTGGCCACCATGCAGAGTCCTTCTGCACTTCCTTTCCTTAGTTTCGGCTGGTGGTTACAGAATAAGACAGTCAAATAGACTTTTATCTTTTCAGGCAGGCCAAACCATTTCTAAATGCTCCTCTGTATAAAATATTGCCTGCAGATAGAAACGTTACCCCCCAAAAAAAAAAAAAAATCTTGGGCAACCTCTTATCAGCTGTACAGGTCCTAATTTGCAAGCAGTTTTGTTTACACAGAGAAGCATTCAGAACGGATCCTCTCCCATCATCCAGCAGCTTGGAGTGCAACCTCATTCTGGCTCTGAATAGACTAAGCCAGGAAAATCACTTGAGTGCTGGAGCTTAAAATCTAGGCCTTTAAATTACGTAAATGGGGGAAGTACATTGGTTTCTTTGGAAACTCACCTGCTGACTTTTGTATCTGGTTAATGTGTAACCTTACACATGACAAAATGTCAGAAGATCAGTACTGTGGGACATTTCCCGGCCATAAAATGGCCTTTATTTTCTTGGAACTAGCAGATGACTGTCAATCCCTGCATAAAGTGTAGATTTCTGGAGTGCAATAGAAACTTTGGACTTAAATTGTTAGCATCACGGGTGGATGATTTCTATCATTGTGCATGACATAAAATACTTAGTCATTTTCTTAGTTATGAAAGAATTGTTGGAATTTAATAAATTTTGTGGCATTTTCATTTTAGGCATGAGGTTAAAGTTTAAATAGATAAAAGCTTGCTTCATATTCTTTGTGTTCAGATTGTAATATTTTTTAAAATCTCAGTTCAATTGAGTTTCATTGCTGGATTGCTCTCTTGCCAAATGTAAGTCAGCTCTCTTCCCTGTTTCAAACCACAAGTATGTATGTTTTTGGAACTGACAGCTTTAAAAAAAAGACACCTTAAATGTTCAGATTTATTTTTTAATCTTTGTAAACTTAGTGAACAAAATAAATGGATACACCATAGTTCCGTTTGTTGTCAAAAAACAATTTCATCAGTATCTGCTAGGTGTGCTTATAATGGGCTCCACATTGTCTCTTGTTGCTATTGATTCGACTTACAGCTTCCCACCCAGAGGGCACTCAAGGTGAGTATTGCTGTATTCATTGAGGCACCTACAGTCCACTTACCATAAAAACAAGCTCAGGGCATAAGAATTAGAAACCTGTAGAAGTAAGCTATATATGTTTTAATCATATCTTCTCAGGAAGATGTTCAGGATGACACTCAGCAACTCTTCCTTACCTTCTTTTAGATCTTTTAGGCAAGGAAGATCTCTCTTCCCATTCAACCCTATATATTCAGAACAGGGTTCTTTGAAGTAGACCAAGAGGCAAGGCCCAGCTCAAAGTCTTATAATAAGCTGCCTGGCTGTTTAGAGACATGAACCTTGGACCACTCCAGTACTGTAATTGTAATCTTTTCTCCAAAGCATAATCTTCCCATTGACTTCCATACTTTCCTTGTGTGACCATCTATTACTGGAAAACTGCTCCCATCAGGCTGAAATGGGGGCGGGGGGGCTATGTACAACCTCCCCCTACTCTTCTTTCCTTCTGTTCATGGAAATGATGGGAAGTGAAGGCATGGAGAAGGTACCCTGATTTGTTAAATTTCATGCTTCTAGTGAAGAATCTACACATTCAACCCTACTTTTGGCACCTATCCATCAAAAAGGGATCTTAACCTTTCTGGCAATTCCCTTTAATAGGGAAGTCATACAATCTCTTGTCTATGGAGGAAAAGAAACAGGTTCCACATGACAAAGGCAAATAGAGGTGAAGCCAGACTTTGTCTTAAATGCAGCTTCCATGGAGTGGGAGGGTAGGGATTTAGCATAGGTTTTATTATTTAAAACATTCCCTTTTCTTGCCTGGCTGTCTATTGGTGGTGGTTATTGTTTTTTCTCCTGGTATGATCTTATCTGAGGTATGTAAACCAAAATAGGCCCTTTCCCCTTGTGTCTGTGCATTGCATTAAGTGTGCAAGTGTTTGGACAGTGGACCAGAGCGAGGGCTCATGTGACTTAACTGTGGAAAAACATGTATTATCCTAAATCTTTGAGAAATACCTAACGTTGTTGACTCATGTAATGTGAATGCAATTTTGTTACGTACAAAGAAGTTTCTGATGATACTTTCCTCCTGTCAGTTGGCAGAGCAAATAACAAGATAAAGGGAAAGTATGATTTCCTGGTGCCATTCATGCTTTTTGGTGATGTATGACCATGATAGCAATTTACTTTGCTTTTTTTGTTCCACATTCCTGTTTCTTTGGCATTATGCCTCACTTCTCATTTTATGCATCCATTGCCTATTGCTACAATGTCTTCGTCTTTTTTTAACAAAACAGAACATTCCATTCATTTATTCCATTTCTAAGGCTGCCCAATCACAAAGCAGCTCAAGGTGGCATGGAAAGAGGGTTAAGAAAATATAATAACAAGGAAGGACCAAAAAAATAAAGCAACTGCATACAGAAACTTCAGTTCCATCATGCTTCAGCTGGTCCCCAAATTGTTCTAGACCAGGGCCTGCTGGAAAAGCCAGGTTTTAAAGCCTGCCTGAATGATGGCAGAGTCAGGGCCACGGGACTTTGCAGGGAATGCAGTTGCAGGCATGGCAATAGAGAAGGTTTGTCTCCTGGGCCCACAAGATGTCATGGTTCAGTTGATGGAACCCAGAGCATGGCACCCTATTTCAGGGTGACGAGAGCCAGGGTCCTTTTTATCACTGAAACACTTAAGCAAAGCTCAGACAGATTTGATCAAATATTCCATTGACAAGAGTCTACAGCAGTAAAGCCTCCTGACCCAGTGACTTGTTTTACAAGAGAGACAGTGGCTTTGCCACCTGGATATGATGGTTGGAAATTGCAGGAGGTGATGTGGTCAGTTGCTCATTGTTTTTCCTTTCTTCTTGTTTGGTAACTACTACAAAGAGGGAAACCTCTTTCAGTCACTGTTAACAGGAACCGAACATCGCCCAAGTGGATTCCAAGCATCCCAGTCTGCAACTGAAGGCATTTTGAAACTCCTGAAAGTTGTAAATGCAGCCTCCAAAAGTCATTACTTAGTTGTAGTGCATATTGTTCTAGGAAGGGAAAATGATGGAAGATCCATTAACTATATGTAGATCTGAATTAAATATACATTTGGGGGGTGGGAGATGGAGTTGCCCAGCTTCATTATTTTTGGGGAGTCTAAGCTCCAAAAAACCCTACTGTTTGAAGACCAAGTCTGGTCCTTGGCCTGGAAACAATTGCATGACCCTAGTCTAGAATTGAAAACCCAGATGAATTCTCGGTATTTCCAGTATGAGGCCCAGTAGAATCAATAAGATCTGATGAATCTAATCAATTCATCGGCAGGAAATTTAGAAAACTACATGGGGAAATGACATATCTTTGCAGGAGACACTTCTCTCCTGTCTTCTGGCATAGAAAAATCTTTGTGCAGATGACTGCAGTAATGGGTATACAAAGAATATAGAAAGAACTGAGGTGGAGTAATGGTTAGTTCTCAGACTGATAAAAGGTGGTTCTGTGAATAACCAGTTGCAAGATCCCATGTAATCAGTGAACTGGCCATTTGCCAGTTCACAGTAAGACATTTAGGAAAAGTCCCCAGCCTAATGTACTTTGGGATTTATTGATTTTTTTAGATGATGAATTGTTCCCTTGCTGGAATGCTTGCAACCCTTCCCTTTCTTCTCAGGAAATCTGCTAAAGAGACTCTGTGAGAATTGTACTTGGAAAAGGGTTATTTTCAGTTTAGGCAGGTGCCGTAGAGACAGATTCGGTTTTGCACACCAAGTCCCAGGGGTGTAAAACTTAAGTATCTGCATAAGAACTCTCTGCGTGTGTGGGGACACGTTGAGAGACAGACTTTCAGGTCATGAAAAACAGGCAGATGCAGAGGTGGGGTTTGAGCGTGCAGCTGAAGAACCCATGGAGGACAGGACTGGCTGTTACAATCCGATTCTCTACCCGTGTTTGGTGTGCCCTGGCTGCAATTGTTGGCGTGAGGCTGAAATTTAACACTGAAATTCAGTTTAGAAAGACAGATCCCTCCCTCTCCAACAATACAACTTCTGAGCTTTGAGCTGGTAGCAAAAGGAACAGTGAACTTTTTAAAAAATATATTTTTATTAGAATTTTACAATACAATACAAGTATAAAGAATGAAAAGAAAAAAAAAGAAAAGTGAAAAAAAGAAAGAAAACATAGAATTTTGAAATCCGCCTTTCTTTCTCTCATTTAGTATTCCATCTTACAATGTATTGTCGAAGGCTTTCACAGCCAGCATACGATGGCTGGTGTGGGTCTTCCGGGCT